ACTCGAAAGCCATTATAGGTGTACGAGACCTAGAGAACCTGCTTTACGCTCTCCCCACTGACTTTTGAGTCGACTCAGAACGAGCTGACTTTTGAGTCGACTCAAAAGCCATTATAGGTGTACGAGCCCTAGAGAACCTGCTTTACACTCTCCCCACTGACTTCTGAGTCGACTCGAAAGCCATTATAGGTGTACGAGACCTAGAGAACCTGCTTTACGCTCTCCCCACTGACTTTTGAGTCGACTCAAAACGAGCTGACTTTTGAGTCGACTCAAAACGAGCTGAATTTTGAGTCGACTCAAAAGCCATCATAGGTGTACGAGCCCCAGAGAACCTGCTTTACGCTCTCCCACTGTGCCGCCCCGCTGCCTATCGTCCTCAAGCGGTCTTGCCTTCTTTCTCTTTTCCCCCCTCCCCCCACCCTCTCTCTCAACCCAAGCCCCCTAACCCCCCTCGCCAGGTGGGCATGTTCATCGACCCCAAGCTGCTAGTGGCGTGCTTCCCCCCCATCCTCGCCTCCATAGCAGCACTCATCATCGGCAAGACCGCCCTCTTGGCCCCTTACCCTCCCCCCGGTCTCTCCCCTTCCTTTTCACCCCCTCCAGGTGGGCATGTCCATCGACCCCAAGCTCCTGGTGGCGCGTTTCCCCCTCATCGTGGCGTCAATAGCAGCACTCATCATCGGCAAGACCGCCCTCATCACCGCAATCGGCCGCTCTTTTGGCCTCTCCACCATCGCTGCCATGCGCACCGGGCTGCTGCTGGCGCCCGGAGGGGAGTTCGCCTTCGTTGCCTTTGGGGAAGCCGTGCAGAAGGTGAGGTTTGTGCCGGTAATGCTGGTTGGTTGGCAAGACCACCTTTTGAGGCGCCTCAAAGGAAGCCGTTCATAAGGCGAGATTTGTGCCAGTTGCCAGTAACCATGGTTGGTTGGCAAGACCGCCCTGGGCGCCCCTTTGGCCTCTCCACCAACGCTGCACAGGGCTGCTACTCTACTGGCGCCTGCTGGTGATTTCGCCTTTGTGGCGGTCAGCAAGGCCGTTCAGAAGGTAAGGAGCTGACTGCTGAGTCGACTCTAAAGCCTCACGTCTGTGGCGTTCGGGGGGGCTGTTCAGAAAGTAAGGCTGGGGTGTGTGGGATGGGGCATTCACACTCCACACCCCAGCCCTCCTGCCTACCGTTTTCTATCTGCACCCCAACAAGGACCATCACCCCCTGGCTGCACGTCCTTGTTCCTCTCTGTCGCCCTACCTACACCCCTGTACACACACCAGGGGATCATGCCTCATCACCAGGGCCAGGGTTCTCCTCCCTCCTCTGCCTCATAGCCGGCATCAGCATGGCCATCACCCCCTGGCTCGCCGGCTTTGATCCAAATCGCACCACACTCTGCCACTCACATGGTCCTGACTTTTGAGGCGCCTCAAAACTCTACCACTCACATGGTCCTGCGCCCTATCCTTTATCACACCCCTATCCCTACCAGGGCATCATGCCAGCACAGCTCTCCTCCCTGCTCTTCCTCATAGTCGGCATCAGCATGGCCATCACCCCCTGGCTCGCTGGCTTTGGCCAGCTGCTGGCGGCTCGCTTCGACCAGCAGGATGTGCGGAGCCTGGAGCCCCAGGAGACGGAGGTGAGTTGGGGCTATGTGTGCCGGGCTACGTGTGCCGGGCTATGTGTGCGTGGTGCTCACTTGGACCAGCAGGATGTGCGGAGCCTTGAGCCCCAGGAGACGGAGGTTGGCAGGGACTGGGTAGTGGTGGGGGATTATAAAGCGAGGGGTGTGCTGCAGGTCATGAGGGTGTGCATTTTGTGTGCATGCTTTGTGTAATGGCAGGAATGCATGTGGCAGGGTGGGGCAAATCATCACTCAGCTGCGCTTGAAACGGACATGCACTCACGTGCGTGTTGCTTCATACCCTTCTCTCACACCCCCCCCCCCACCCCAGACGGACGACCTGCAGGGCCACATCATCATCTGCGGCTTTGGCCGCGTGGGGCAGATCATCGGCCAGCTGCTGTCTGAGCGCCTCATCCCCTTCGTTGCCCTCGACGTCCGCACGTAAGCATTGTGTGAACTACCCACTTTGACATGCCTCCCTTGCGGCTCCTGGTGAGTCACCCTCAACGCGTGGGGCAGATCATCGGCCAGCTGCTGTCGGAGAGCCTCATCCCCTTCGTTGCCCTCGACGTCCGCACGTAAGCTCTCATGCTGTGAGGCTCTCTCAGTGCGTTCGCGTAATCCTGGTGTTGTCTCTACCAGGCTCGTCAACCCCCACGTCATCCCGTTCCCCTCCCATGCCCTTTCACCTGCCAGTGAGAGGGTGAGTGCAGGCCAGACTCTCGACCTGCCGGTGTATTTCGGCGACGCGGGCAGCAGGGACGTGCTGCACAAGGTCGGCGCGGAGCGGGCGGCGGCGGCCGTCATTACTCTCGACACGCCGGGGGCCAACTACCGGGCGGTGTGGGCGCTTACCAGGAACTTTCCCCACATCAAGACGTTTGTGCGTGCGCATGACATCGACCACGGGATCAACCTGGAGAAAGCTGGCGCCACCGCGGTGAGTTGGGGAGAGAAGGTGAGGGGGGGGGGGAGGGGGAGGGGGAAGGGGGGGGAGGGAGGGGGAGAAGGGGGGGGCAGCATTATACGGTGTGGACTCTGATGAGGAACTTTCCTCATATCAAGACGTTTGTGCGCGCGCATGACATCGACCATGGGATTAACCTGGAGAAAGCCGGGGCCACCGCGGTGAGTTCAGGGATCAAGATATGTACTTTTGGCTTTAACACGGATGTTTCTCCACATCAAGGTGCATGCGCATATCCACGTTGACCTTGGGATCAACCTGGAGAATTCTGGGGCCGCTGCAGTGAGTTGGGGAGAGAAGGTGAAGGGGGGGAGGGGAGGGGGAGAAGGGGGGGCAGCATTAAACGGTGTGGGGTCTGATGAGGAACTTTCTATTAAACGGTGCGGTCAAGACGTTTGTGCATGGGCATGGCATCGTCAATGGGACATGGAGAAAGCTGGTGCCACTGCGGTTTGTGGGGGGCAAACTATGTACGTTGGGCGGTTACCTGTAACTTTCCGCACATCAAGACATTTGTGGGTGCTCATGACATTGACAATGGGACCAACCTAGTCAAAGCTGGCGCCACTGCTGTAAGCCGGGGTTACAAGCATGTACTGTAGGCCCTGTGGCGAAATAGTGATATGCTCTTTAGAATTTTTTGTGGAGGGGTAGTGATAGGTTTTTAGAATTCTCTGTGAGGGGTAGGGCATGTATGGGAGCACATCAGTGGATTAAACCACTGCTATCCCGGTCCCTTCTCCCCCGCCCCCCCCCTCCCCTTCCCCACCACCACCACTCCTCCAACCCCAATCTGGCTGATGAAACTTGTTCTTCCTGCCCCTCTGTCTTTCTCCCCCCTCCCGCCTGGCTGTGTGTGGCTCAGGTGGTTCCGGAGACTCTAGAGCCCAGTCTGCAGCTAGCGGCTGCTGTGCTCGCGCAGGTGCGTAGGGTGGAGTGGGGCGGGGAGAGGGAGGGAGGGATGGTTTTGTCAGGCGCCTAAAGAAAAGAGTCCAGCCTGCAGTTAGTGGCTGCGGTGCTCGCTCAGGAGCATATGGTGGGGAAGGGGGGGGGGGGGTGGGGGGGGAGGAGGGAATGGCTGGGATTGCTGTACACTGCGGAAGATGTTAGTACAGTAATAGAGATTCTTACGTCTTATTGTGCGAGGTTGATATATTTATTTGCTGTTCAATTGACCGTCCACTCTCCCCTCTATCCCCCTGCTGACGCGTTTGTGTGGCAGGCCAAGCTGCCGCCAGCTGAGATTGCTGCCACACTGGATGACTTCAGAGTGCGACACCTGGCAGAGCTGAATGAGGTGAGCTGGCATGTCCGAATGAGGTGAGCTGGCATGTCCGAATGAGGTGAGTTGGCATGTCCGAATGAGGTGAGCTGGCATGTCCGAATGAGGTGAGCTGGCATGTCTGGCACTAGTGCTTGTTCAGCAGGCATGCATCTGTTGTGTGTTTTGTTGCTGCCGCTGTAAGGCATGGTCTGTCTGTCCATACTCCATATGCGCAAACGGCTCACCTCCCTTTCCTCGCCTTGCTCCCGCCCCATTCCCTTCTTTTCCCCGTACACTGTGTTCAATGTCCGCCCTGAACTCACCGCCCTGGTCCCTTTTTTCCCCGCACGCCGTGTTTGCTTTGCAGACATCAATCGGGTTTGCATCGTGACCACCACCATTGTCCAGAGGCACACACGAGTAGCACTACACCCTAATCCTTTGCTCCATAAATCGCTCTTAGAGAGTGAAGTGTGCTATCACGGCTATCCTTTTTGAAATTGAAGTGTATGACTGTCATGTTATGGAACACCAGAGCTAATTTGCTGAATCCCCTAACATCAATTGGGTTAGCATTGAGGAAATGGCACTGAGAGCACAGCCAAATTGGGAAACTGGATTCTGCTCAGTCCAGGTGCATCAGGCGCAGTGATAGCCCTTGCCCTTGCATACTGGGCGTCCTTGCCCATTATGACTGCTTTATGGTACGTGATCTATCCCATTCACGTAGCTGTAGTTTAAAGCATGAGGTGTTTACATGAGTTATGTATTTTAAAACTAAAAGTATAAAGCGGGCTTTCCGTCGTCATGTAGTAGTTAAAGCAGTCATATAGAACTCTTCAAAGCGTATGTGCCGTTCCCAGGACCGAACGAGAACCATGTCAGGTTAGTGTTTTGCGAACGTAGGCGAACGTCGTTGGCTGTCAGCCGAACGTCGGTGTCCCATCACCACCACGCCCCTGTTTTCGCAGTTGTCACACCCCCACTGCTGCCCACACGAGACGGCATGCAGCTGAGGAGGACTGCTCGGATGAACAAGCCAACAGGCACTAAATGCGCGGCGCGCGAGATGCATTCCCTCCTCCGTATTGTAGTACACTCAGAAATTCCCGCAATAATGTATAAATGATAAAAGCTTTCTCCTATCGATATTCAGCATCAATTAGCCCTCATTACTTCCCATTCAACATTTGAGCCATTTAGCAGCATGCAGGCTGTGTTCGTCTTCGCTGCTCTCGTCTTGCTGCTTGGCTTACCCGCGATCAGCCAAGCGACTTGGACCAACCATGGCGGCGACCTGAGCAACCGCAGGTGGGCAGACAAGGAGCAGCGCATCTCGCCAGCCACCGTCTCACAGCTCTCACTCGCCTGGGAGGTCGAAACCACCGGCGACGTGAGCGCGACGCCTGCTGTCTTCGGAAACGCAGTGTATTTCTGCGACAACGGGGGCTCCTTGTTCGCCGTGAAGCGCAACTCGGGGGAGGTCCTGTGGACGAAGCGCATAGGACCGGATTACGGCGTTCCCAACAACTACCAGGGCAGAGCGCCCTATTGTAGGTCCACGCCAACCGTGGTGAAAGGCAGCAGAAACCAAACCAGCCTACTCATAATCGGCATTTTCAATCCGGCGTTCGTTCTGGCCGTGCGACGATCGGACGGCGAGCTCGTGTGGAAGACCCTCGTCGATCCGCATCCCGCGGCGCTCATCACTGCGTCCGGCACCGTCTACCGCGGCGGTTACATCAACGGGGTTTCTTCAGCCGAGGAGATATTCGCGGTGAATCCTAATTACCCCTGCTGCACGTTCATTGGGAGTGTAGTAAAGCTCGACGTGGCGACGGGGCAGACGATTTGGCAGACGTACACCCTTCCCGCGAATGGCGGCAACTCGAGTCTCTACGCCGGCGGTGCGATCTGGGGCGGCTCGCCGTCCATCGACAGGAAGCGACAGCTCGTTTTCGTCGCGACGGGTAACAACTATCGCGTGCCTGCGAGCGTTTCGCAGTGCCAGCAGCAGCAGCTGGAGACGGAGGGCGCGCCGGTGTTCCCCGATCCGTGCGTCGAGGCGGGAAACTACTTCGACTCGGTGCTCGCCCTCGATATTGCCGCGGGGAGCATTACGTGGGCGAAGAATCTCAGCCCGATAGATGCGTTCACTATCGCTTGCGTGTTCGGGGCTTCGCAGCCCAACTGCCCGCCAAACCCCGGAGAAGACTACGATTTCGGCATGGCGCCGCTGCTCTTGTCTGTGAATCGCAATACGAATGGCGCTGGCTGCAAGAGCAAGCGCGATCTCGCCGTGATTGGGCAGAAGTCGGGAGTCATCTGGGCCCTTGATCGCGCCGACGGACAGATCGTGTGGTCCACAGCAGCTGGGCCAGGAGGCGCTCTGGGCGGCTCTGCCTGGGGTATCGCTACCGACCTCCAGCGCGTTTACATCAGCAACGAGAATAGCGAGTTTACGAATTTCACTTTGCTGCCGTCCGGTAACACTACCACGCACAGCGCATGGGTGGCTCTGGATCCTGCGACGGGTCAGGTGCTCTGGTCGCAGGAGAACCCGAACTTCCCCGCGCTCGCGATGCTGCCTTCCGTCGCTAACGGCGTGATGTTCGGTACGTCTATGGACGCCGCGGGACACGTGTACGCGTTTGACGCTGCCTCGGGTAACATTCTATGGTCCTTCTCTCCTGGCGCCTCTGTGCACAGCGGCGTGTCTATTGACCGTGGGTGTATCTTCTTCGGGAAGGGTTATCGCAGCGTCCTTGTTCCCTATGCGACTGGGGGCGGGCCTCAGCGCGTCTACGCTTTCTGCGTCCCTGGCGGAAAGTAGCGCGAATCGTGGCGGGAGAAGGCTCGCTAGGTTGGAAGAACCGCTATGGAAGTAACACGAGGGCTCATAGGAGGCTCAGGAATTAGTAAGTATGGATGGTGTGGTTATAGGAGGCTCAGGATAAAACACTGAGTGCAGGCGAGTTCTCAAGCATTCGATTCGAAATCTTGAAGCGTGGGTTGTGCGAAAGCGAAATGGCAGCGAGCGAGCAGGTTGTATCACGGGGATCGCCTCTTGTTACAGAAAAAAGTCTATAAAGTTCAAACGTCTTTTAATCAAGTCGCTAAGAATAGAATGCAATGGTTCAAGGGAACAACTTTCCCTTTAAATAAAACATTGAAGCACATCGATTTTCAAGGCAGGTATTCGACGAAAGGGCACAAAAAATGTTGAAATGTAGCACCTAAAATCAGCGGGGGTGAACCCTTTTCTCAATAATACTGTGGTCAGCATGCGAGCCTTTAGACATTATGCTATCTGAACTGGCACTCCCGAAAGCTACTACCTCTGCTCCATCCCCACCCACCCGCCTAGGCAAGGGACTGCTACTCGCAAGGCTACTGTTAATTCTGCTCACATCTGTGCCTGTCAGTGTTAGCCCACTACCACTAGCCACAACTTCCAAATCGTTAATACCATCCTCATCCTCGCTAATGAGTGGCCTCATTACAGGCTCGCCAGGAGCGACCTCTTTCTCGCCCTTACCAAGACAGTACTTGTGAATCATGGAGTCAATTCTGTGTGCCACGTCCTTCATATCCGGGCGGCGCGTGCACGGCATTTTTAGGCAGTCCAGCGCGATGTCAGCAAACTCCACTATTGCATCATCAGGGGCATCAATAGAAGGGTCTTTAAGGAGGTCCAGCTCATATTCTGCCACCCTCTGGGCTGCCTGGGGAGGGTTGGGATAAGGGCGCCAGAAGGAGTTACGATAATATTTATAGGGTGTTTGATGTATATAAGGAAACAGCACATACGACAGCACCGGGTGAGAAGCGTGTAAGGGGAGCACTTATGGCAAGAGCCCACTCACCCATGTGGCAATGTGGTCCTCACCCACATGGCAGTGTGGTCCTTACCCACGAGGCAATGTGGTCCTTACCCACGTGGCAATGTAGTGCTTACTTACCCACGTGGCAATGTGGTTCTTACTTACCCACGTGGCAATGTGGTAATCCTCTTCACGCATCACTGCTGGCCGGCCTGTCAGAATCTCCAGAAGCACCACTCCAAAGCTGCAGGGAAAGCGCAGTGCAAGGTCACAGGGAGCACAAGCCATACAGGGGGCACAAAATAAGCAGCTTCTCTCCTTGCGCCCATGTCTTCCCCATTCCCCTGCCAATCAGCATCTCCAGCAGCACCACTCCAAAGCTGCAGGGGAGATACGGCTGCAGGGAGCACGGGACATGCACGGGACTTGCCAGCACAATTCAACACGTGGTCAGTGAACCCCCACATAACCTCACTTGTGCACGCCAGTCTTGGGGAACACCACTCCTGTCCGATCATAGTCCGGGTCCACATACCCCGGCATCATTAGAGGCAGATAGAACCACTCACACAGGTACGCTGATTCCCCACATCCGCACGCGTTCACACAAACCCACATCCTCACCTCTGCATGTCTGTCTTGGGCGAAACCACTTGCGTCTGGTTCTAATCCGGTCCACATCGTCAACGTATATTTTGTATATGTTATAGGCTGGATAGGTGCATGCTCATAGAGGGTACAACACCTTAGCTTATATTCTTTGTACCCCATCTTACTATTCACTTGTTAACTCTGAGATGGTATCATGCGCTAGGTTAGGTCCTCCACACCCACCCGCGCTTCTGCTTTAGTCCTAGCCCTAGCCGCCTTTCGCTAGCCGCCCGTTTCTACTCGCCCGTCGCTACCCGCCCCGTTTCTAGCCGCCCGTTCCTAGCCGCCCGTCGCTAGTCGCTGCTGGCCGCCCGTCGCCTCGTGCCGCCCGTAGCAGCCAATTGCCTGTAGCCGCAGGCCGCCTATAGCCACCAGCCGACCGTAGCCGCCAGCAGCTCAGTGGGGGTGGTGGAGGTGGCGGAGGTGATGCCGGGACGGTAGTGCAGACGAGGGGACAGTGGAGCAGCAACACAAGCAGCAGCCGCCTCAGCAGCAGCAGCAGCCGTGGTGGCCTGGCAGCGATGGTGGTGGTGGTCGTGGTGGTGGGCCACGCAGCTCAGTGTCGGGTGGCAGACCCAGTGTGGTCACCTGCCAGTACCAGCTTCAGTCCGGGCCCTGCCGGGGCACCGTCTGCGACCGTCCCGGTCACACCGCCGCGCGCTGCTACCGCTGCCTCGACGAACTCTTCCGTCTCTGCTTCGGCCCTACGGCGGACCCCCCGACTGGTACACCCTGGTGCGTCGTCGTGTGCCTGTCTTTGAGATGGACATGGATCAGATTAGATCTGCTATGTATGCCATGTATGCTGATAACTCTAGTGTGATTAGACCATATTACCCAGTGTTGCCTAGCGTAGATGTGTCCCTTGTGTGTAGTCTAGGTTCCCTTGCTGCGAAAGGTGTAGGACCCCCTGCCTTGTTTAACCTAGGCTACACACTAGCCCCTCCGCTGGCTGACGCTACTGCTTCGCTCTCTTTCACGCTCGACTCTGGAGCGTATGCCTGCTTCTTCCGCGACCACACTGCTCTAGCGTCGCCTGCCGCCCCCAGCTGCTATCGCGCTTGCTGACCCCTCCTCCGGCCCGCCGGCTGCGCCGTGCTCCTCACTCCTCCTCGCTTCCCCCTACCTCTCCGCCACTCCAGACCCTGCACCTGGATGCCTGGGGTCCATCCCCCGTCCCTGAGCCGCGTCGCGAGCGCTACTTTGTAGTGCTTGTCGACTACTACACGCGCTACACCACGGTGTTTCCCTTAGAGCAGAAGGCCAACGTGCCTGACGTTCTTATCCCGTGGGTCGTAGCTGCGCGAGTCTACCGCGACCTCCCTCTGCTGCGTCTACACTCTGACCGTAGCGGGGAGTTCGCCTCCGGTCCGCTTGGCCAGTTCTATCGTGCGGAAAGCATAACTCAGTTGTACTCCTTGCCTGACTCCCCGCAGCAGAATGGGGTCGCTGAGCAACGCATCGGTTTGGTCGTGGAGGTGACTTGTACCTCCATGATCCATGCCGGTGCACCTCACTTTCAGTGGCCCTTCGCTGTTCGCTACGCCGCTCACCCGCTTAACGTGTGGCCACACTCCCAGCGGCCGCAGGTTTCACCGACCCTCCTCTGGATCGGGTTCCCTGGTGACGCGTCTGCGTTCCACGTCTGGGGCTGTCTTGCTCGCGTTCGTGCCTCTGACACAGACAAGCTGACTGCCCGCACTTTCCCCTGTGTCTTTCTTAGCTTTCCCCTCGAAGCGTCTGACTGGCACCTTTACCACCCGCCGTCTCACTGCTTCGTTCACTCGCGTGACGTCATTTTTAACGAGTCTGTCTCCTTCTACCACCGCTTTCCCCACCGAGGTCTCCCGATTTCCCCGCACCTGTTCCTGGTTCCCACTCTCACAGTAGCCCCTGCTCCTCTCCCTCCCTGTCTTGCCCCGTCTGGTGTGTTTCACGCCACTTCCCTCCTGTCAGCTGTCCCGGTCGAGGAGTCGGCTGACTCTGGTGGCCTTGTGGCACCGATCTCGCCGCCTGTCTCCGCCCCTGCGTCTCCTCCTCTGCCGTCGCAGCAGCCGTCGTCGTCGTCGCGGCCGCAGCAGCCGCAGACGCCGTCGCCGCAGAAGAAGTCGGTGCCGCTGGGGTCCCCGAGCTCTAGGGGTGCGGGTGTTGAGGAGGGTGCTCGTCCAGAAGTTCCTGTCGTGGTTTGTCCCAGTGGTCCTGGGTGGCACCAGTGCTGGAGAGGAATCTCGTTATAGGGGCGCATGTTTTGGAGGTGCAGGTTCTGGGGGTGCCAGTCCTAGGGTTACTGTTGTGGCTCGTCCCGGTGGTTCTGGGGGTGGGACCGGTGTTGGAGAGGGTTCTTGCTTTGGGTGTGTTGGCGTGGAGTGTCCCGCAGGTAGCCGTGGTGCAGCTGGAATTTCTGGTGTCGGCGTGGAGCAGCAGCAGTTGATACCGGTTTTCGCCCTTCACCTCCTCGGTCTTCCCTCCCCTAACCGCTCAACTACGCCTCCCCCGCCGCCGCCTCCCCCGCCGCCGCCTCCCCTGCCTGTCTACGGCCCTGTATTTCCTCCGCCGGACTCGTCTTCGGCTCGTCTCCCCCCCTGTTTTTCTTGCTGTGTCTCCTCCATTGTCTCCTTCCCCGAGCCCACAATCTCGCTAGTGGTCTTACCGTGCCTCTCGTGCTCATCATGTCTCTCCTGCCTAGCGCTCTCACCCAATATTGCTTCGTTCCCACGCGTCTCGTCCTCCCCTCCTCCCGTCGCCTCCTCCGTCATCGCTTGATGTCGCTTCACCTCCTCTGTCTGACTTCCTTCGTGCCGCTAGTCCTCTTGTTCCCCGGGTCCTTGCCTCCCTCGTTACCGACCCGTCTGTTCTTGTCTCGAGTCTTGACGCTCTTGTCGCTGCCGTAGCTGCCTTTGCCTCTCCCCGCCGCCTTGACTACGCCACCGCTCTTGTCTTTAACCCTGCCCGTCCTCCGTCCGTTGGCGATGCTCCTGCCTTCGGCAGTGACGTCCTTGAGGATCGGCATTAAGAGCGTGCTTTCTTGTCCGAGGCCGCTCCTCATCTCTGGTCCATACTGCTAGTCCCTGAGGGTGACCCAGACGCCCTTGACATCCCGACCCCTTGCACTTACGCTGAGGCGACCTCGGGACTCTGGGCCTCTCAGCGGATAGCTGCCATGGACGCGGAGATGGTATCTTAGAGATCCACCGGCACCTATGTCGACGCAGTTTCCGCACATAGGGTGAACGTAGTCGATGACTGATGACTCTTCAAGGTGAAGCACCCTCCTGGAGAGCCGCCGGTGTACAAGGCGCGCTACGTTGCTAGAGGATTCAGTCAGCGCGAGCGTGTTGACTTCTTTCAGACATTCACTCCGGCTCCGATGATGACCAGTCTTCGAGAACTGCTATAGGTAGCAGCACAGCGTGACTGCGAGCTGCACTCCCTCGACTTCTCCACAGCGTTTCTCCAGGGTAGTCTGCACGAGCAGGTCTACCTACGTCGTCCTCCCGGCTTCACCGGCACCTTCGCCCCTGGTACCGAGTGGCTCTTCCGGCGCACGGTTTACGGCCTGCGGCAAGCGCCCAATGAGTGGCACGACACGCAACGTGCTACGTTAGTCTGACCTGCACTTCTTCCAGGCCTCTGCAGACCCCTCGCTCTTCGTTCGTGCTGGTCAGACCTCGTTCCATCCTTGTCTACGTAGACCACTTGGTCTTCGCTAATGTAGACAGAGAAGCACTGACCTCCGTGAACGCTGAGCTGCTGAGGAGACACATCTGCACTGACCTAGGTGAGCTGCGCCACTACCTTGGCCTTAAGATCTCCAGGGACAGAGCAGCGCACACCATCACTCTTACACAGTCACACTTGGTGCCCCAGGTCTTTTAGAGGTTCGGTCTTCGGTTTGTCCTCCGCACAGCCCACACCTCTGCCAGTAGATCACAGACTCTCGGCTCCAGTCTCTGAGGAGTCTGTAGAGCCCAGTGGTCCTTACGCTGAGCTCGTGGGTTGCCTCATGTACCTAAAGACTTGCACTCGTCCAGATCTTGCATACCCTCTCAGCATCCTGTCTCGCTTTGTGGCCACAAGCAGACACCGACCACAGCATTGGTCGGCCGTTAAGACGGTTTTGCGTTATCTAGCAAATACATCGGGCATGGGGCTAATACTAGGAGGACACAGGCCAGTGGTCCTTACAGGGCACACACACGCTTCGTGGGCAGACGACGCTGAAACACCCAGGTCCTCCCAGGGCTACTAATTTAGCCTTGGTGCAGGCGCCGTCTCGTGGCGGTCCACCTGTTTGTTGTATGCTGCCCAGTCTAGCTGTGAGACTGGCATCTACGCTGGTGCCATGGCGGCACAGGAGCTCCGCTGGCCGACTTTCTTGCTCACAGACTTAGGTGAGTGGCCTAGTTCTGCCCCGGTCCTGTACGCTGGCAACAGGGTCATGATCCTCCTGTGTCAGGAGCCTCAACTAGAGACAGAGCGAAGCACTTCCAGCTGCGGTACTTCCTCCTGCGCGAGCTATAGCAGCGCCGCCAGGCCCGCGTAGTACACTTGGTCTCCGGTGCCAACACAACTGATATCTTTACTATTCGCTCGCGCCTAAAGATCATCAGCAGCACTGTGTACACCTTGGTCTAGTGCCTGTAGCTTCTCACTTGTTAAGACCTTGATTGTGTACTTTATCTAATATTACCTTGACTGGCCTTGTGGCTCCTGTTCCAATGGCTGGACTCGTAGTGCCGCCCAGGGTTAGTCTTGTTTCCTTTGTACTCTTGCTGACTGGTTTTTGGACCCTTGCCTCAGAGGTTGGACTAGTAGTGCCACCCTGAGCTGCGTGTGTCTTGCTAGTCGTTGCCCTTTGTCTAGCCTAGGGTGTGTGTCAACATATATTTTGTATATGTTATAGGCTAGATAGGTGCATGCTCATAGAGGGTGCAATACTTTAGCTTATATCCCTTGTACCCCATCTTTCTAGTCACTTGTTAACTTTGAGACACATACCTCGGTGTCATCTCACAACCTTAGAAACGCGCACCTGTACACGTCAGTCTTGGGAGACACCACTCGTGTGCGGTTGTAGTCCGGGTCCACGTACCCCGGGGTGCCTGCTATCCTAGTGGCATCCCCCTCTCCGCCCCCCTCAGTCAGCTGCTTCAGCAGCCCAAAGTCCGCCACTTTTGCCTCCAGTCCGCCACCCGGCCGCTCCCCCACGAGGATGTTGGCGGCTTCACGTCGCGGTGCACGATGGGCGTGCTGAAGCTGTGCAGGTAGGCCAAGCCCTCCGCGGCTCCCTGGGCTAGCCTGAGGCGCTGGTGGAAGGTGAGGGGGGCTGCAGGGGTGGGATGCGGGTGTGTGGAAGGGGAGAATCAGCATGTTGGTTGGCTTGTAAGGGCGGGTCAGGGCCATTTCTATCGCGCTGCACTTAGGCCTTTTCTTTTCATTGAAATTTTGAAGATCGAGCACGATGGGCGTGCTGAAGCTGGAAGGTGTTTTGAGAAATTTCAAAAACACCTTGCAGAATGATCGGTGTGCTGATGCTGGCTGGTATGCAAGATGAACCTTCTGCTACTCCCCAGTGCCACCCGAGAGCAGCATCTGCTCCTACCTGCTGCTCTCAGTGCATAGCATAGGTCATGCTTGACAGGACATGCTCCCCATCCACAGCCCATGTTCTAAGGTAATAGGGCACTAGCAAGAGCGCATCTTACACTTGGCGTTGTGAATGTGGTGCTTGAGGTCGCCATTGTCCACGTACTCATACACCAGCACCTGCTCCTGCCTGCCGCTCTCCACGTTCATGTCCACACAGAACCCCAGCAGCCGCACTAAGTTTTCGTGCCGTAGCGTCGCCATGGCTCGGACCTAGGGGGACAAAGAGGGAGGAGAGGGAGAGACGGCGGATTGAAATAACCTCCTGCCCGCTGCTCTCCACGTTCATGTCCACAGAGAACCCCAACAGCCGCACCAGGTTCTCATGGCATAACGTCGCCATGGCTCGCACCTGGTGGGTGTGGAGGGGGGGGAGAGGGGGACAACCGAGGAGGGCACGTGACTATTCATGTTTATGTCACCATGTGACGTTTCGCAACACACATGTCTCCCTATTGCCGCAACAACCCTTCAATCTCCAAAAAGACCACCCATGACGTTGTAGTGGCTCGTATCAAGTAACTCAAAAGCTACCCACCCATCCCACCCATGCACACACCCTCGTACCTCTTTCTCAAAGTCGTTGGTCATGATCTTGCACCGCTTCACCGCCCACATCTCCCCCTTGGGCGACACCCCCAGGTACACCGTCGCAAACCCGCCCCGCCCCAGCCGGTTCCCATCCGCCCAGTTGTCAGTGGCTTGTAGCAGCTGCTGCAGGGAGAACTCGTGGCACACGTCCAGGTCGCCCCACTTGCCTGGAGTGGGGGAATGCAAGACGTGGGGGTCAGGGATCGAGGGAGATTCAGAACGCTGGTGCTTCCCCATCTACCCCTGACCCGCCCAGTTGTCGGTGGCCTGCAGGCAGCTGCTGCAGGGAGAACTCGTGGCACACGTCCAGGTCGCCCCATTTGCCTGGCCGGGCGTGAGTGAGGGGGGGTAACTGGTGGGAATAGAGGATGTGTGAATGCTACAAGGTCACTTTCAAGACCATTCCCTTCCCACCATGTCTAACCCTCTTCCGCCCAGTTGTCTGTGGCTCGCAGCAGGTGCTGCAGGGAGAACTCTTGGCATACGTGCAGGTCGCCCACTAGCTTGATGGCAAGACCAGGGGCTTTTTGCAGGTTGAGTGGTCTAGCCTGGCTGCATGCATACCGAGCTAGGGGGGCATGGTTGCATCACAGGGGAACATGGTTGCATCTTAGGGGGGCGAGGTTGCAAAGTAGGGGGCGTGTTTGTAGACTAGGGGGTAGGAGCGTGGTTGCATACAAGGGGGGCGTGATTGCACACTAAGGGGGCATGGCCGCCTTCACAAGGTCTAAGGTTGAAGATGTGCAGTTGACCAGGGTTCAGGGTTACTCACGGCGTCGCTTGGGCAAGAGTATGCCAAGCGAGGGTCGTGGAGAGGAGGGCGAAGCCGAGGAAGCAGCCGACAGCGATGCCCGCTATTGCTCCCGGTGAGAGGCCTGGTGGAGGGGGATAGGACGAGGGGAGAGGACGAGGGGGAGAGGACGAGGGGGAGAGGACGAGGGGAGAGGACGAGGGGGAGAGGCGAGGGAGAGGACGAGGGGGAGAGGACGAGGGGAGAGGACGAGGGGGAGAGGACAAGGGGGAGAGGACTAGGGGGAGAGGACGAGGGGAAGAGGACGAGGGGGAGAGGACGAGGGGAGAGGAATAAAGGGACAGCGACTGCTCTCACCAAACACAGCATGTGGCAGAACAGGCAGCCCACGGCAGCGCGGTCACTGCATGGATAAATCCCCCACTCCCCTGGTGTTGGGACCGTGGTGGTGGTAGCAATGACTCACATCGACCCGTTGCCGCTTGTCGAAAGCACGGTAGTCGGCATCGCACTGAAACGCGAAGCCCATTGCCTGGAACGTGAGCGAGGACTCTGGGATAAAGGCACATGCACCATGCTCATTGCCAGGCAGGGAGGCACAGTGGCCACCACACACACACCCACCTGATGCCGGGACTGTGGTGGTGGTGAGAATGACGCATGTTAGAGCCATTCCCACTGTCGAACGCACTGTAGCCAGCATCGCACTCGCACGTGAAGTTGGACCGGGAGCTCTGGGAGGGCGGCACGCAGGCGCCGTGGCCGTCACAGGGGCCGTTGTCGGTGATGCTGCAAATGCCCTGCACTCTGCTGCTGTGCGCTGAGAGGAAGAAGAGGAGGAGGCCGAGGAGGCCGAGGGGGAGTTGAGGTTTGAAGAGTTGGAGTTGGATAGAGCGGAGCAGGTGAGGGCGGCGCTGGGCTGGAAGCAGTTGTTGGCGAGGCTGGCCTTGCCAAGCTGGTACTGCTTCGACACTACCAGAGCAACCCTGTGGGGAGGATTCGCAGGCAGGGAGGGTGCATGTGAGGGCGGTGGTGGGTTGGAACCTGGAAGCAGTTGCTGGCGAGGCTGGCCTTGCCCAGCTGGTACTGCGCAGAGCCGCCCTGTGGGAGGGAGAGAGCCACGCTGTGGGAGGGCCGGAGTAGCGGGTAGGGTGCATGTGAGGAGAATGGTGCCCAGCTGGTACTTCCGAGTCAGCACATGAGTCAGCACCCGAGTCGCTCTGGAAAACAGGGGAGGAAGCCAAGTGGGAGAGTGGGTGGCGTGTACTCCATGGGTTGAGGGGGGGGAAGGGGGCAGGGGAGGAGGAGAGGAGGAGAGGAGGGGAGCGGAGGGAAATCCCAGAGGACGAGAGGAGGGGAGGGGAGGGAGATCCAAGACTTCGAGACACCTCAATCCCACAACACCTCAGGAAACACCTGTTCGATAACCGACGCGCAAACTAGTGTCCCAGGGAAGGGTAGTGTCCCGGGGAAGGATAGTGTCCCGGGGAAGGGTAGTGTCCCGAGGAAGGGTACTGTCCGGGGGAAGGGCAGTGTCCCCGGGAAGGGAAGTGTCCCGGAGAAGAGTAGTGTACCGGGGAAGGGTAGTGTCCCGAGGAAGGGTAGTGTCCCGAGGAAGGGTAGTGTCCCGAGGAAGGGTAGTGTCCCGAGGAAGGGTACTGTCCCGGGGAAGGGCAGTGTCCCCGGGAAGGGAAGTGTCCCGGGGAAGGGTAGTGTCGTGTCCCAAGGAAGGGAACTGTCCCGGCGAAGGGTAGTGTCCCAGGGGAGGGTAGTGTCCCGGGGGAGGGTAGTGTCCGGGGAAGGGTACTGTTCCGGGGAAGGGTAGTGTCCCGAGGAAGGGTACTGTCCGGGAAGGGTAGTGTCCCGGGGAAGGGTAGTGTCCCGGAGAAGAGTAGTGTACCGGGGAAGGGTCGTGTCCGGGGGAAGGGTAGTATCCCGGAGAAGGGCAGTGTCCCGGAAAAGGGTAGTGTCCCGAGGAAGGGTAGTGTCCCGAGGAAGGGTAGTGTCCCGAGGAAGGGTAGTGTCCCGAGGAAGGGTAGTGTCCCGAGGAAGGGTAGTGTCCCGAGGAAGGGTAGTGTCCCAGGGAAGGGTAGTGTCCCGGGGAAGGGTAGTGCACCTGCCAGCAACAGCCAGTACCTGCCAGCACCGGCCAGCACCTGCCAGCATCTACCAGCAGCAGCACCTGCCAGGACCTGCCAATACCTGCCAGCAGCTGCCAGCAGCGGCCAGCACCTGCCAGCACGGGCCAGCACCAACCAGCACCTGCCAGCATCGGCCAGCAGCTGCCAGCATCAGCGAGCACCTGCCGGCACCTGCCAGCACGGCCAGCACCTGCCAGCACCTGCCAGCGCCTGCCAGCACCTGCCAGCACCTGCCAGCACCGGCCAGCACCTGCCAGCGCCTGCCAGCACCGGCCAGCACCGGCCAGCACCGGCCAGCACCGGCCAGCACCGGCCAGCACCTGCCTGCTCCTGCCAGCACCTGCCAGCACCTTCCAGCACCGGCCAGCACCTGCCAGCACCTGCCAGCACCTGCCAGCACCTGCCAGCGCCTGCCGGCACCGGCCAGCACCGGCCAGCACCGGCCAGCACCTGCCTGCTCCTGCCAGCACCTGCCAGCACCTTCCAGCACCGGCCAGCACCTGCCAGCAGCTGCCAGCACCGACCAGGCATAGTGTCCCGAGGAAGCATAGTGTCCCGAGGAAGCATAGTGTCCTGGGGAAGCATAGTGTCCCGGGGAAGCATAGTGTCCCAGGGAAGCATAGTGGCACCCTCGACCATAAACCCTGAACCTGCCTGCCAGTGACTGACCAACGCAGTTGGCCCAACCTGGATGCTCAAATCCCCCATCAGTGACCTCCGACGGGCAGAACTGGCACCCGCTGGCGAACAGCACCGGCGCGGCGCAGAAGAGGATGTCTGCGATGCCCAAGAACTCCCACAGGTTGAATTGACAGCACCTTAGCAGGAGCACATCGGGCTCGGGACCTGAGGCACACCCACCTGCCAGCAAGAGACTTCACAACGCAGTTCCCGCCTGCCTGGAAGCTCAGATCCCCCGGATCCACTGTGCTCTCATCAGCGATCTCCGACGGGCAGAACTGGCACCCGCTGGCAAAAAGCACCGGCTCGCCGTAGAAGAAGTTGTCCGCGATGTTCAACAAAGCGCCGGCGGCGGGCACTATGCCCTCAAAGTTGCGGTTTATGCGTCCGTAAAAGCTGTTCTGGCTCAGATCCCTGTAAGGGTGAAGAGATGAGATCATGGGAGAGAGAAGGGGGGGGGGGGGTTTGTAGAGGAGAAAGAGCAATGAGAAAAAAGGGGCGCTGATGCAGCGGGAAAGCATTGA